CTCTGACTGGATTCGTCTGAAAGAAGAAAGTCATATACACCTAGGATGCCTCGGGGGTGAGTAAAACGCAACTTAATTTGAATTTTTGGGTGAACTAACCCTTTAACTTCATACTTTTTTTTTTTAAACAATCTTTCATTACAGCCTGCTTGTTCTTTTGTTTTAATGTATTGTTATAACTATATATACTGTATATGTGGTCATATTTGTATATACTTGTAATTCAATTAAAAAAAGTAAAAAATATTGATCAATGAATCAAAATATCATGACTCATTCATATCTCCTCCATGCACAAAATTTCAATGCTTCTTGCTATAAATCCATAGAGTGACGTCTCACTCTCCACTAAAGAGGGCCTAGTATCTTCTGTGCTCATAGCAGTGGTCAGAGGGCATCTCTGTGATAAATGAGCCCGCCGCTCCATCAGAACACTCAGGCCACACAAGATCTGCACTCACTGCAGGCTATGAGTGTGATCTACGCTTATTGACAGATTAGACTCACTGCATGTGGTTGGGACCATGAAATATTCAACAGTGCCCATGTTTATAAATAGCATGCTGATTCTTTTGTGCTGAGAACGAGAATATAGGTTTGAACAGTGACATCAATATGAGTTCAAAATTGACTGGACTAAATAAAATAAAAGGTTGTGCTTTAGACTAAAGACTAAAGACATGACAGAAAGGGTCATGAATAGTATCAACAGCAACACCTGTCAGTCAACAGTCGAATGGCACCATCTGTCCTGCGCAGCGCTGGCAGCCTATCAACCGATACGATCAGAAAGGCCCCTTAGAATTGATGGATCTACTAACAATAGCTGAGGATTCTGGGATACTAAAGCATGGGTAAAAAAGACAGTGGGCTTAGCAGATATTGACTGAGGAATCTAATTAAAGCATAGACACCCTGCATGTTTATTTTGCTCATAAACTCTGTTTGTCTGAACATAGATATAATGCACAGGGAAATTTATGGGCCCTAAAGAGATTGTCTGGATAAAATAAAGCAAATAAATAAATATATTTTATATAATAAATGTACAGTCATCAAATTGCTTATGTCCTGGACAATATTACTGACTTAAACTGAATACCTGTATAAAAGTGGTAACCTGCAAATTACTAGAGCTATTTCTACCGAATAAAAAAAAAATAAAAACTTAGTTTTGTTGGTATAAATTAATGTATTTAGGTTGATTCAGTTATGTTAAATAATATTTTTGACAAATATTTTTATTGAATCAACCATGCATCATATTAACTAAATCAGTTTATTAGACTATATAAATGGATGTTCCATTTTATGTGAGTTTACATGATTATAAATGCATTTTTACAAAGTATTATGGATTTCTTTATGTGCAAAAACGTTTTATGAGAAAAAAAGTGAACAACCTGATCTTGTAGATTGGTGCAATTCATTGATCAGTAAGATCAGACTCTGCCCCCTGCTGGAGTAGGACTATCAGTGAGGCCCTCGCATTTTGAATTGCCTGAGAACACCTTTTCAATTACACAAGCCATATTAAACCATATTTACCACTTCTTTATCAGTCATACGATTCTCCATAATCCTCTTATAAAGTGCCGAGCCACAGGTAATGAATTTCACTGTTAAGCTCTGAAGTTCATTTATTTAGTTCATTGAACCATATGTATAAATCACCTGAAATACTCCATTTAATCATGGGATTTAAGCCAAATTAATTCCTTAAGTCACTGTAAACAACATGGAATTATATTAATCTGCATTGTTCTTTATATGATGGGATGGTTGGGTCAATCATCTCCATGACTCATGATGATCCTTGACTTAATAATTATAAATCATGCTTAAATATGCTTTCTTGGAGATTATTATTCTCTAAAACGCTTGGTTTGATGGTGATGACAGCAGTGCCAAAAACAGAGATCATTATAAAACCTGAATTTAAGAAATTGTACACATAATTACCAAATAACGGACAAATTTGAAATTTTTAGAAAATGTGCAGTGAAACTTCCTTGATTTGAACACTTCGATATTGTATAGGAAAATTGAAAAAAGGTAAAAACTCAAAATGAACTTTTCCACACTCTCAAACAATTAAAAAGACACCAAATGTAAAAAAAAAAATATACATGAACTAAAAGCAGGTTTTCTTTCAAATGATTCTAGAAGAAAAGTTCCCCTAATTGAAGAATCTTAAACAAAACACCTTACTAGAAACTAAACGATTTTGTCAAGTATTTGTTCTTATGTCAGCCTATCAAATAATCTTATGCCAAACCTGAATGCTAACAATAACCAGCCTGACTGGTTCATTAGCATTGTTGTTTCATGCCAACAAGGATGTTGATCCAGGAACATTAAGAATAGACACGATCAGCCTTGAGCACTGATCACTGACGCTGACAATCACAAGCTCTGACGTGCCATCATTTAGTGAAAGACCTGCCTGAGAGCCAGAGCACACAAAACTGGCACTGACTTTACAGAGAAGCAGGGGTGTGCACTGGAACACTGGAACTGAAACCCTGCACTGGAAACGATTTATAGCATTTATGAGGGTGGATTTAAATGATCACTGGCAGAGCTGCTTTAGATGAGCTCTCCAGGTCATGTGATTTTGAGGAAACTGAAAAAGCCCTGGAATTAAATAGACTGGTATACTGGCATGTGGCAGGAAACGGATGATTTGTTGAACTGCAAAGTGAAATGTAGTCCAATATTCATCAGGCTCCAGCAAATCACTGGATGCATATGCAGGCAGTGACTCACTGGATGATTAAGCTGAGTCTTTGTGTTAAACCGTGTGGTTCTTCTCAAGATACTGTTTGAAATGCTAAGAGCATCTGATGTGACTGTGTGTGTAACTCAGATAACACCTTTAGGGGAGGGGCTGAGAGAAGAACCGACAGATCAGCATGATAAATGAGAGGGCAAAAGAGGCTATCGCCAGAGATTTGTTTGTCTGCCAAAATTTTGTAATGAAACTTTGTCATTTTGTGTTAGTGATGCTTCAGAAAGAATACCGCATTAAAAACTGTAATCAGCACTTAAGATCCATGACAGTTGATGAGTGCAGTTTTTCCTGTGTTGTTGTATTTCATGATGAAAGAGGAAGTTTGGGTGGGATGTTTTGTCTTTGAAGTAGCCTTACATCACCTATAATTTAGTCAGCTGCATACATACACTACTGTTCAAAAGTCTGGG